TAAAAAGTTTGTTTATAAATTTTGAGTATTCTTAATGAGTTCATATGCAATACTCGCATGCGATTTTTAAAGGCCTGCTAATTGATGAGTGTTTTCGAGGTTTCTGGTACTTTTACCTTGAATTTGTCGAAAATTATGTATTAATTATTTGGTTACGCGTAGAATATTAGTTTCAATACATTTTAATAGCAATATGTCGCCTGAAGAAACAAAATAAAATATTTTGAAAAAGAATTAAGCGTAGTAAGTCACCTGTAACGCCAACATGCTAAAGTCAAGTTTTCAATCAACATTTCGTGTGTTGCCTACCTTTGGGCGCAAATTGCGTGACTAGCAAATGGTACCAAAGGTTTAGGCGTTAAACATTTTATACATTTTATTTAATTTATGGAAATTAAAAAGAACATCTTATTTGAATCAAAGTTTTATTGCTCTCTCTAAAAAGTTAAAAAATGTTGGTCTTCTATGTATAAAGCAATTTTTAGTAGTCTGATAGAGCAAGAGGTGCTTGAAGTCTTTAAGCAAAATATTTTCATTTAATTACATGTTTTAAGTTGTCATGCAATTGCCTGCTTTTAGGCGTTAAGCATATTAAAAATGATTTGCGGTATTGCTTCGACTTTTTGATGGACAATACATGAAACTATGTTAGTCCTTCGTTACATTTTCGGCTGTTGCATATTTATAGGCGTTTAAAAATAATTTCTATTTCGCAAAGAGGTATTGTTTTCTGATTTTTTTAAAAAATTGTGAGGTGTTTAACAAACTAAATATTTTTTAATAAATGTTTTTTTTTTAAATTTAATTTGTCTTTTGGAAGTTTTGCTGTTTGTAGAATCACTTTTACCAGTTTGTTTTTTTATGTACTTATATTTAATTTATGTGAGTTAGTTATAGCACATCTTATAATATTCGTACACATGCTGTATATATTTTGTATATTTTGAAATTTTTTACATTTTCTTATAATTTTTCGAAATATTTAAGCATTTCAAACTTCGATTTTACTAACTATTATTGCAGGAAGCATGTGTGGTGGTGTATAGTTTTTTACAGTAAATTTTAAATAATTAATTTAATTATTACATATTTTTAACAAATAAATTTTGTTTAATATTTTGTGCTATGTTTTTATATTTCACTTACAATTTTTCCTTTCTATTTTATAGTGCACAACTAAAGTATTCAAAAACGTGCTTTTAATACTATATTTGTAATGCCGTGCGACTGGTTCACTTGGCTGCATAAATATTTACAATAATAATAAAAACAACTTATAATATTTTTTCGAAAATAAATTTTTAAGATTTTTATGTATTACGTAGTTTTATTAAAGAAAAAAAACAAATTATTTAATTTTTTGTAATATATATAAAATTTTCTTCGAAAAATATAAATCTAATATATTTATTATAATAAAAATAAAAATTAAATTTAAAAAAACACCTTTCTTAGTTTTAGTATAATAAAATTATAAATTTATAAAATTTTAAAATTATAATTTTTTTTCTTCGAAAAATATAATTTATCATGTGTATGAATTATATATTTTTTAAAAAATTTATTTATTTCTTCGAAAAATATGACTTATACAGGTATATGTATATTATTTCTGTTTAAATTTTGCTAGTTAAATAAATTTCAATGCGTTCAAAAACTAAAATAAACGTTTTGAATATTTTTGAAGCATATAATTATGTTTATAGTATTTTTCAAATCTTTTTACTTTAAATTGCGTAATTTCTCAACTCAATTATGATTTGAAAGTTTTATAAAACACTTAATAACGGTTTCTACATAGGTTTATGTGCGTATGTATTTTTATTTACAATAGTTCTGTACTTAAAAGTATTCACAAAAGCATTTAATGATCATTTCTTACTGACTTCGTAGATATTTACATAGCTATCGGCATAACTTTTATATCATTTATTCTTATTTCTTATATATTTTTATATATATATATTTTTTTAACAAATAATACAATACAACTTTAAAATTTTTGTTATTTTAAAATCATTACATTTCCATTACAATTTTTAACTAAAAGCACAACTGTTTACATAATAATTAATTACAATTAATTTGACTAAGAAAACATATTTTTGTTATAAATTAATAAGTCGCTCTCACGCTAAACTAGTTATTTTTACTCGCTCACACTTAGCTACCACACTACAAGTAATTACCTACCACCTCTTCAAACTAACAAACTACTCGTATTTATTGTCAACACAGCCTTGAGAGTGAGTGCCTCCCAAATTAAAATGCTTGTCTTCAGCGAGTACCGCTCTTCACGCAAACTATTTTCCGCTCATTTGAATTCACTCATCCAATATCATTTTCACTAAATTAGTTATGTGTTGTTCAGACAGCCGCCAATTTAGTCAGTTAGCAATTTTTTGTTATTTTTACATACTTAATTTGTTAATTTATTAATTGTCTAAACTAAGCAGCTGTCTGCATAATTTTTTGCTTAATTCAAACTTAATTTAGGTTTAATTATGTTTTTCTAATTAAGATGTTTACAATATTTTTAATTGAAGTTTATCTAAGTTACGCTAATGTTGCATTACACATGTCCCGACGTGAATTGGAAAGTAAAATAACTTAGCCAAGAAGCAGAAATAGCATTACAACTATTAATATTTTTTGCTAAATATCCATTTATATACAAAACACATATTATTATCATAATAAATTCTTGAATATTTCCGCTTTCAAATTTAATACAATCTCTTTTTTTAACTATACTAATTATTATTATTTTTTAATAATATATTTTGATTATAGCTATTGTGGAATTATTGTCGCTTTCACAAGCAGTTTATTAAACTTTTTTATTAGCATATAATGTTTTAAATATTACTCTATTCTGCTATAACTTTTGTATATACATATGAACGCATATTTTCTAAATAATTATTAGTTTTTTAAATGCTTAAATACTTATTTTTGTACGCCTATATTTGTTATGTGCAGTGTCCTGGCTAAACTATGCTAAATTACTAACAGTGTGTGAATTTATGTGCATCAAAAGCCCCTCAAAAGCTTAGCAAGCAATGAAGCTTTACCTTTAGCTTTAAAGCTCCGCGGTGATTTCTAAACATTTTTCTACTAATTTTTTCAAAAAATTATTTCACATAAATATGTTTATAGTGCACTAACTATTACTAAGCATAATTGTATATACATACATGAAAATTTAATATATCTTAATTATTTGTTATTGATATAGATATTTGGACTTAAATTGTAGGTTAATTTTATATATCATATAGTTATATTTAACTTATTTTTTAGTTTTCTGCGCTGTACAAATTACTTGAATAAGAATTGACTCTTTTAGTTTGAAAATGTTCACATTTCATACAAAATTGTGTTTCGTTTTTTGTTTTATTTATTATGTATTTGCAATAGTAGCTATACGTAGAGATATATTACTACACAAAAGAAAAATAATTATATAGAAAAAAATATTATTTAAAAAAAAACAAAACAAAATGGAAAAAATAATATATAAAACAAAAATGAAAAAAATATTATTTCAAACAAAGAAAAAGAAATATTTCTTCAAACAAATCAAAAAAACAAAATAGAAAATCATATTTCTAAAAACGAAACATATCATAACATTAGTTAACTAATTTTTTGTGACTAAGAAAGTCTTAAAAGTCTTGTGTCTCCAAAACGAGACATTACAGTGCTTACATTATATTCCGCAACATTATTGCTAGTCTCTCATAGAGAATATCTAGAGCAGCTTTAATATGAACTTGAAGGACATTACTATGCCAAGCAGGTGATAATTTCTATAAAAACACTTCATTGCGCTGTCTGAAATTTTAAATTTCAACATACAATACTTAGCTTATCAAAATGTTGCGCAACATTGTTGCTAGCTACGTCTAAACTGAAATATACAACATGAAAACGTATAGAAAGTATTGTGCAGTTAGAGTGTTACAAAAATCGGGTTTTCACTGATCATTGAAAATATTTTCGCCACTTTTCAAGTTTGAAAGATAATGCTCAGCTAAGTTCGACAACATTTGCTGAGCAACATTTGTTTGCGATAGTATTGAAGTCTGTTGTTTTTTAACAGAAAATCTTATTTTTAGGCACTGAATAAAAAAATTTTAATTTTTTTTAAAGCTGTCATGCTGTCAACATGTATCTGGCAGCTTGTGCTGCCGAAAATTTATGTTTTTAAGGAATTTAATTGCAGATTTTGTATGTAATTACCGATTTGAAGAACAAAATAGTTAAAAAGGTTAAAAAATATAAGCACACATGTTTTAAAAAAAGTAATAAATAAAATAAAAGTTAAACTTAATTTTATATAACAAAAAACTAAATTAAAAAAAAAAATCAAAAATATTTTTTTCAAAAATATTTTTTTTTTAGAAAAAAATTGTGTTTAAGTAATGGTATATGTAAAACAAAATTTTCATAACAAAAAATAATTTATGAATATTAGAAACAAGTATTTTTTAATAAAAAATAATAATGTAAACAAATTTTTTTTATTTATTTAATTAATTTATTTAATTAAAAAAAATTACTAAAATAAAAAAAATATTTTAAAATTCTGACCAAAAAAAATTTTTATAACTGAAAACATTGCTAATTAATTTTAAAATTTAAAAATATACATTTTCACAATAGAAGTTATAAAAAACAAATTTTAAAAAATATTATTTCACTATAAAAATTAAAAAAAAACTATTTTATATTTTACCAATACCAAAAACGTTTATTTTACATACAGATATAAATATAAGTAAAATCTAAAACTACGTTAACACTTAAAGTACACACATTAAAAAATTAATTTAAAAATGTAATTAGTTTTTACAATATTTTACACTATATTTTCATTTACATAAATATTTTTCTACGCTTTATTTACCATTAATATAACAAGTTAAATATATGAATTTATATATAACAATAACAGTTTAGCTTTATATTTAACATTTTTAACTTACTTTTTTGCCAAATAAGTTTTTTTTTATAATTTCTATACATTTCTTGCGTATTTTTTGCATTTGCCTACATTGAGAATATCATTAACGGTAATAATAGAAAACATCAATATAGATTCTATTTCGTTTAATAAGTTAAAATTATAACGGTATATATACAGAAGGTTTATTTATTTATAGTTCATTGTGTTGTTGAGTATTCGGTTCAATTTTGTTTCAAATAATATCTTATTTGTGAGAAGTGAAAAATAACGATGTGGTGAAAAAAGATTTGGTGATTTTGCAGTTGCTATTACATACAGTGTGTCAAAATAGTGCTGGAACACAAAATAATGGATACTGGGTTATTTTTATTTTTTTAGAAGTATAACTATACTTTTCGATTTATCAAAATAAATTTAAAAAATAAATGTTAATAAAAAGTTTAAATAAAAAAATTTTTCTTTCGAAATAAAAAAACAAGTTAATTTTTTTTTCAAAATGAAAAACAAGTAAAATTTTTAAAATTGTTTTGCTTGAAAAACTTAAATGTGGTCAACACATGCTACAGCTGTAATAAATATTACAGTCAAATTTACAAATAAATGGGTGCATATAATTTTAAAAATTCATTTTTGGTTTTTGTATTATTTTTAAATAAAATATTTACTTGAGTTGTGTTCGTTCGGTAAATTAAAAGAAGAAGAAATTCTAATAAAAATTTTTAATAAAAACATTTTTCTTACTAAACAAAAAACATGTAAATTTGTTAAATTTCTTTAAATAAAAAAACAAACAAAATTGTAAAAAAAAAATGTTTGTTTTGAAAATTTTAAATTTGGTTAATACAATCTAGAGATGTAATAAAAATTTAAAAATTACAGTCTACGGGTGATAGAAATTAATTTTTGATTTTTGTATTATTTTTAAATAAAATTTTTACTTGAGTTGTGTACATTCGTTACATACAAGAATTAAATAGTTTCTTAAGAAATAAATATTTTTTTCTAATATTTCATGCTTTCATTGCTCTTTAACCAACATAGAACTCAAATTTTATGTATGCATATTTATTGTAAACACTGTTATAATTTATATTTTAATTATAATGCTTCTTGTTGTTGTAATAATTATAGCGGTGTGGCATTTTATATATAATTTTTGCTTTGATTCGTACTTTGGTTCCAGTAATTTGTAAGTTATTTGATCTAAATACAGTAATAGTTATAAACATACATATATACAAGTATGTATGCATAAACAACAAAAACAAGTTGAAAGCTACTTTTTGATTTCCGAAGATATTTGTGGGTTATTTGCGCTATACCTTAATGTATTTTTATATTTGCCAGATTTCATTGTTACAGTTTGTGATAATACTATTTTGTAGTTTTGAATTTCGAATATTTTTTTTCTTTTGGAATTTTGCTACATTTTTTTTTCACTAGTTTTTATTTTTACTTGCCATGCTCGCTCGCTCAGCCTACTGTGTTTGATAGGGTTGTTGATAATTTGGTTGCTGTGGTTGTTGCGGGTATTGTGGATCATAGCTTGGCATTTGTTGTTGTTGTTGCTGCGTGTAGTCATAAGCCGCATATGCGCTGGCATCAGCTGTTTGTTCGGGCATAACGCTCTCCTCGGGTATAGTGCCACCCGACATGGCGGCGAAGGGATTATTGGCCACGTGACCGGTCGCACCATAATTGATGGCATTCGGTTGTTGCATTTGACTTTGTTCGGTGTATTGCGTTGTGACGCCCTGTTTTTATTTATTTTTAGCCGCCGCGAAAGAGAATTGTTTGGAAGAAGAGTTGAAAATAAATATAATTGCAATGCATTAAAAAGCTATTTCATGTGATGAAAAGATATGAATAAGCTTTAATGTAGCTTTTGTTGTGACAAAATGCACTTTACATTATGTATACCCCCTTATCGCCCCTCTTCTCTCTCTCTTACTCAAAAGCAAATAAAAAAAACAATAATTTCGATGCTTAATACCGTTATGGCATGTCAATTTGTATATCATGCACTTACACACACACACACTTATATATTAGTAGCAGTTAATGATAACTCCATGAATCGCTTGCTTTCAAACTTACAAAGGATGTCTCCTTGGTATAACCGCCTTGGCTGGGATCTTCGGCAATTGTGCCCATTGGTGGCGCCCACACCTGTTTCTCTTCTTGCGGTGGTTCGGCCCAGGGTTGTAGTTCGCCGGAAGCGAAGATGCCAAAGAACGTGCAGCCGATTAAATGAACGCATGCGGCAAGTGTGAAGACGGTGGTCCAACAATCGTGAGGCTAAGGGCGGAAAGTGGGGGATTTAGGTTTAAAAAAAAAAAACACAGTTAATTTTTTATCATAAATCCAGAAATAAATGAAATTTATATACAAATTAAAAAAAATTACACACTCATTATGTTAGGTTACAGAGATCTCGCCAAGTGAAGAAAATATCTCGAGACAGCTTTTTGATTTCTCAGAAAATATACTTTCAGGGGGGAAAAAATGTTAAATACTAGTAAACACATAGCGAAGTGTAAGTTTGGGTCAATATATACGCTCGCTGAGTATCCTGAGTACCGTCATTCACGATGAATGAACACATCTCGCATAGAGATGAGAATCTCTTTGTCTTATTACTACTTTTTTCTTTCTTAAGTTTCGCTTAATTCTCGAACCTTCTAATAACTCTTCGAAATTTCGTTACTTACGTGTTTACGGATCATGCCATCCAACGCGTAGGGCACAATTATGCCAGCCAAGGTACCAATACCATTCGAGAGACCCATCAAAATACTAGCATAGCGTGGAGCAATATCCAAATGATTTACATTATAACCCGAAATAGCGAACCCACTGAAGGCAACACCACAAGTCAGAGCAAACATGGCGCCAGTCTGAAATACAAACATTTAGTGGAACATATTTAATTAGTAGTAGGTTTAGATAGAAATACTTCTAAGCATACTTACCGCCGTATCGGAGTGCGCAACGAAGAGAAAGAATAGACCCTCCATACCGAAACCGCCACAATTGAACAGTTTGCGCACATTCGTGGTCGACATAATGCCATTTTTACGCAGATGATCAGCCAACATGCCACCGAATGGCACAATAGTGGTCATAATCAAATGTGGCAGCGAACCGATAAAACCGGCCTCCTCCACCTTAAAACCGAACTTATGCTTGAGAAAAGACGACTGGAAGAGCACGAGCAGATAAAAGTTCCACGAACGACAAAAGTTCGCCACAATAATTGCATAGACGGGCATGGAGCGCACCATCTCACGCCACGGTGTGGTGCTCAACGACGGCATTGAGGGCTGCATAGAGGTCTCGCCCAGCGATTTCTCGATATACTTCAATTCCGGTATGCTGATGGCAGGATGTTTGCGGGGATTCTCAAAGCAGAGCCACAACCAAAAGAGGTACCTGCGGATTGATTGAGTATAATTTAATGAATTTGAAGAATTTCATTAAACATTAAAAAAGTTGTGCCACGTTTTCATACCATGTTATGCCGAATACGCCGTAAGCATAGAAAGGCGCCTGATAGCCAATCGCGTCGGCGAGCAGACCGGACAATGGCAGACCCACCACAACGCCCGCATACGAGCCGCTGAATGCTAATGTGGCCAGACGTGAACGCTCCATGGGTGGCGCCCAAAATCGCCAGATACCATGACAAGCCGGATAGGTGACACCCTATGTATGGGGCAAAAGTGGACAAAGGCAATTCAAAAAAGGTTTTAGTATAGTAGTATAGAAATTATAAGAAAAAAATTGCATTGTCAACAAAGGCTCATAAAAATAAATATAGCATATTTAATACAATTTTATTGTTGTTTTTGTTAACTCTTATTTTCACTATAGTTTGCAGAAATAAATCGCAGGAAACAGGAAACGCAGGATTTCCATTGTCGAAGCTTCATAGAAAAAAAAAACTAAACGAAATAAAAGGCAGAAAAAAGGCGAATTGCTCATCAAAAGATGGCGTAAGGATTTGGCAGTAGCAACCCTCAATGCCTAAAAGCAGATTACATCATGTTTTCATTTCGCCAGCCAACAAAATAGTCATATTAATATTATGAAAAGAGCGCTTAAATGCATACATGTGTGTGCTGAGACACACATGCATACACGTATACATATGTAATCTTAAATAAATATACAATTGCAATACTTTTATATGATTGAATTTCACTTTGAATGCCTGCAAATCACACGCTTGATGCACTACGCAAATTCGCAATTTCAGTCAAATTCTGAAGAATTCAAGTGGCTTTGATCTGCTTAACGCAAATCGAATTTCATACAAAACGCTACTTTACGCCTACCCGTTACTACGTTCATACTTATTTATGTGACAAATATTGTTTTGTGTTTATATGTATACTCGTATCTATGTCTCTGCTATGCTATCTATGTCTTTGCTTTTCTAAACACCGTCCAATTTGAATGCTCTTTTTTTTTTTGGGTAACTCCCACTCACCTCGAATAGACCTTGAGTTACACGCACACCTATCAATACATAACCATGACACACGGCCATCACCACAGGCACCAACAGATGCAATGTTGCCGAGCATACAATTGATAAGCCGAAGATTTTATTAGCCGGAAATCTCGATGCTATGAAACCACCCGGTATTTGTGTGATCAAATAGCCCCAGAAGAATGATGAATCTACATGACTCTCCACAGCGACACTCCAGTTCATGAATTTTGTCTGAAAGGAAATAAAGTAATATTAATATACATAGTATTATTTATTTTAGTGCATAAACTTTTATTATATATTTTGGGTATTAGTAAGGGATTACGTAATATACATATGTAGTGGTAGTTGGAAAATTTTCGAAGAAAAACTACATATAAATTTTTGTCTAAACATTACTTTATATTGCTTTGCAGAAATCTTTTGGAAAGTATCAATTCCTCTACCTTTAATAAAATGCTCTCAAAAATGTCTCATTCCATGATTTTAACCCCCGAAATTTTTCCGAAACCTGGTTTTAGTTGGATTACTGAGAAAATTACTAGTAGATCAAAAAAGTGTTAAAATGTTTCTCAAAAACACCCTTCGAAAATTGTAACATATGTAGTCTCTGAAGACAAGTTCACTTTTAGAACATTTTTTACTACATCATATGTTATGTTTCTTAACTCGACTTTTAAGCAAACTTCCAACTTCTAACCAAGAACTTCATTTTGATCGGTCAGTTTTTATGGCAACTATATGTTATAGTGGCCCGAACTAAATAAAATATTTGAAGCTTGATTCGTCTTGAACAATAATTTCTGCCAATTTTCGTTTAGATATCTCGTCAAATAAAAAAAGTTTTTCATATACAAGGACTTGAGGATTAGTTCGTGTATATGCAGACAGACGGGCATGGCTATATCGATTCAACTCGATATTATATCTATTCTCCATCTATTTGCTAAACTTAAAGAAATATACAAAAAATTTGCTATTAGAATCTTGTCGTTAAAAAATCTGGTCTATATCGTTATAGAGGAGATGGGTAAACGTAGTATTTTGGCTCTTTGAATTTTCAAATAGACAATTACTTATGCAATTTTTTCGCGACAAATTTCCCTGATAGAGTAAATTTTTCAGATGTAGAGTGTCAGATAGTCGACGTAGCGCTTTAGAATAAAGCTTCAATAAGTGATATATGCCTTACTGGTTCTTATGTCAGCCGAAACTAGAATTGATATAAAATTCTTGAGTCGGATAGGGGGTCTATAAAATGTGAGAATCAAGACTCGACCTATGAACATACTGACTGGAAGTTTATTGTCAGTATTGAAGGTCTATAAAATATGAGCATCAAGACTGGAACAACCCTCGGCCTATGAACATACTGACTCGAAGTTTATTGTCCGGTTAAGCTTTCACAGGTAAAAGGAGGTTTGCACCGATACATATTATATAAACCATAATACTCTAGTAATTTTTTAAGGCTTTAATTGAGAATTTTATCATTTTCGGTCTTCTGAGACTAAGGAAGCCACACAGAAATAGTAAAAACAAGTAAGGAAGGGCTAAGTTCGGATGTAACCGAACATTTTATACTCTCGCAAAGTCAAATGGTATACTCGTTTGAGATTTCTTTGTGGATTGACTGATATTCTCGGTAGAAGGTCAACTATAGGCACTGGGGTCCACATATTTAGTACTTAGGGGTTTGAACAGTTTTGGTTCGATTTAGACAATTTTTGGCCGCAAGGTGGCATACTTTAATTGCATTATTCACGCAAAGTTTTACCCCGATATAATCATAGTTACCTGATTTGCATAGTGGAAAGTGAAAGAATCAGATGGAATTGAAAATGGTGTTACATGGGAAGTAAGCGTGGTTGTAGTCCGATTTCGCCCATTTTCGCACTGTGACATAGAAACATGAAAAGAACGTTATGCACTGAATTTGGTTGAAATCGGTTGAGCAGATCTCAAGATATGGGTTTTCACCTAAAAGTGGGCTGTGCCACTCCCACTGTCTAATTTTGAACGCGGTTCCTATAAAGCCAATTTATACCATCTCAGAGATAAAATTTAATGTCTCTGGCGTGTTTAGTGCTTGATTTATCGCGCTTTTAGTAGTTTTTAACAGTACCGTTATATGGGGAGTGGGCGGAGTTGCCACCCGATTTCAACTATTTTCACACCGTCAATAGAAGTGCTAAAAACATTTGCTTATAGAGAATTTTGTTATTATAGCATTAGCGGTTTAGGAGATATGCACATTAAACCTATTAGAGGCGGGACCACGCCCACTTTTTAAAAAAAAGTTTTAACTGCAGATGCCCCTTTCTAATGTGATCCTGTGTACCAAATAATAGTCTTGTATCTTATTGCGGAGCTTAGTTATGGCAAGTTATTTGTTTTTGATTAATGGCGTTTCGTGGGCGTGGCAGTGGTCCGATTACGCCCATCTGCAATACCAACCGTCTCACGGTACCAAGAAACATATCTACCAAGTTTCATAAAGATATCTCAATTTTTACTCAAGTTAGAGCTTGCACGGACGGACGGACGGACGGACGGACGGACAGACAGTCACCCGGATTTCAACTCGTCTCTTCATCCTGATCATTTATATATATATAACCCTATATCTAACTCGATTAGTTTTAGGTGATACAAACAACCGTTAGGTGAACAAAACTATTATACTCTGTAGCAACAGGTTGCGAGAGTATAAAAAGAAATAAGGGAAGGGAAATAAAGGAAGGTATTATTTTTGAACAAGATACTAAAAATTACTATATTTAAAACAAAAATTTTGCTTTTCGAATTTTATTGTTATATTACATATGAAATATACAACATTTTCTAACTCTAAAAAAGAACACTTTGTACAAACATTTAAAATTAAAATAAAATAACCATAATAATACCAGTAAAATTATTTAATAAAAAAAAAATTATTTTATAAAAATTTTTTACAATAATCAATTTTGTATATACAAAATTACTCGTAGGTAAGTAAATGGCATTTTATATAACAAAAAAAAAAAAAAACTAGTGTAAATAATGTTATTTTAAATTACTAAAAAATATTTAAAGTAAGACGTGCTTTAATTTGATCGTGGAAATAAATTATACTATTCTGATATTGCATGATTTTTAACAATATTATTATTATTGTTTTATAAACGTTTCTGAAAATTTGAATTCTTAAACGAAATAAATATAAAATATTGAAATCTAATTTGAAAAAAAAAAACATTTTTTTTGTTTCATAACAATATTTTTGCAAAGTTAGATAAATTTCTCGAAAATAATTTTTTTATAGAACACGCAAATATTTTTTTCATTATTTATTATTATAAAAATATTGAATTTCGTTACAAATTCAAAACTAAAACACTTTTTATATTTCATACCCACCTTAATTCATATATACATAAGGAATTCTACACGCTTAAACCAACAAAATGCCAACTATTCGAAATATACAATATTTAACATAAATACATTAACTGGTACACAGTGAGAAAAAACCCAATTCTAATACTAAAATCACAAATATGCACTACTTTTATACAAAGGAGTAATAGATTTTAACTAAACTACTTATCATATTTCATATATACATATGTATGCATGATTCTAGGTAGTTGGGATTATCTGCGCACGCCTTGATACTCGCCATTATTTGCGGAACGTCCTTTTCCTGGAAAGCCCCGCGCAAAGGGTGGTTTGGCATTTGTGGTCACATAGTAATTTCCTCGAGCTCTGTAAGAGTATTGGAAATTTAGAAAATATTTGAGCTTTAAAACTTACAGCTTATAATTTCACTAGTTACACTATCTGAACACGTACTGACAAGCAGTTGAGGGTATAGAGCTGAGAACTATGGTAAATGTTTTACTGAAAAGAAATGTCTAATTTGGTCTTGCCTTTGATAGGAAGTTATGCTAGCGAAATGAAATTAATGCTACGTAGCTTTGTGAAGGTTCTTGCTCTGCTCTAATATAGGCTACAAAAGTCATACGATATTTATAGAGAACTTTCTGCCCTGTGCTTTCGGGGTAAAAGTATCCCCTGCTTGATATTTATTGATCTTAAAATATGTAATGCTGTAAAATATTAAATGAAAATGTTTCACAGTTTATGTTTGAAATTCGCCACGATCAGCTCTTAAATAAGTGTGTAACTCGAGACACCAAGGTGCTGTAAAGTATTCAAAGACGACTAGATCGAATCTGGGACACAAAATTGATGCGGCCGTTTAATACTTTGTCACATACACATATATAGAACATTAAGAGGAAGACTTTTTTCAAAGATTTTGAACTAGACAAAGTTGACATGGGTATAATTAGAATTGTGGACTCATTGTTATGAAAAACCTTTAACATAATTTCGAGGAAAATTAATTTTTTTCGCAAACCTAAAATAGAATATGTTGCCATTTATAGCTACCGTAAACTTTTTTTATCCCTGTTTTTTTTGTATCTTCCCAGCTTGCCATGTAAAATAAACACTTCCATCATTTACGTCTACTTTTTACTTACTCATGCGAGACATGTTCGCCCATTAGCACATAATCCGAATCCTTAGGCTCACACCAACCTATCAGATAGGTGAAGAGATTCGGACAAGGACCCGCATAGAAACCACGCGTCGATGTTATGGACTCGATGAAGTACGGTGTCACCTTCGTATGATCGCAGGCTAAGGTTTCTGCACAAAATTAAAATACAAATCGACAAATAAAAAGCAGCCAATCAAGATAAAAACATTAAAACCTACGAAACAGCGTCGCTGAACCCACACAAGCCGGCTGCCGCGTGCCGCCGTTCACATAAAAGTCCGCATGACCGCTCGAATGCCACTGACCCAAAATGCCGGCGCCCGTATGCAGCACATCGACAAAGTGCGCATCGCTCGAATCCAAGTCACGCGAGTTGTTGGTGCCCGCGTAAAAGAAAATAGTCGGATCCAAGGCGGTAATGCGACCCAACTTACCTTCGTTCGGCTTCAGATAGTTCGCAATGAGTCCGGCAATATGTGCGCCCACGCTATAACCGATAAAGTGCAGATCATCGGGCCTAACACCACGCGGATGACGCGCCAAATACTTGACCAGCTGTGAGATGCACAAGCTGCCGAAACGCGGCGCCCATTCCATTTGGCTGAGACAAGGCTCCTTTACCGCTTCGGCATAATCTACAATAATAATATTGTACTCGCCGACCGCAAAGTAGGCTT